AGATTGAATCTGGGCAGATCTAACGATCACGGATGCCCGATAGTGTTTTAATTTTAATTTTTTTTCTATAAATCTAAATCACTTAAAATTTTAGATATGTGTTGATAAAAAATAGGTGAATATTCCAAAAATATTAAAAAAATATTTTACATGAAAAAAGAACCAAAATACCCTCATAAATTTTCGGAGGTATTTTGGTTTTTTAAAATTTTACGAATTATTTTTTTTATATTTTTATTAGGTACGGCCTAATGAGAAGAATATTCACGTAAAATTTCAAGTGATTTAGATTTGTAAAAAAAAAAATTAAAATTCAAACACTCTTGACAGTCAAATCGGTTCAAATTCAATCTGGGCCATTGAGCTTATACTATTATGTGAGCTAGGTGGCTCACCCTAGCATCTTCTTATTTATATATATGGAAAAAGTTTATATAAGGTTGCAACCTTACAATGTAGAATCACATATGCACCTCAAAAATCTATCGAAAATATTGTTTTAATGTTGAAAAATACTCTAATTGATCATCTTGACATCGAGATGTATGAATATGAAAAGAAAAAAAGTTTTTGAGTCCCGAAAATAGTGTATCTTGCAATATATTATCTAGGCCGTCTATTTTCAATATTTTCATATATTTATAGATCTACTTAATTTTAACTATTTTTAGAATTTAAAATTTTCTAATTAGGTATGAAAATAGATTTTAAGATAATACTAAGAAGTTTTTACAACAAAATTACATGTTATAATAAAATTTTAAGGTGCACCTTAATTGGATTGTTTAAGGTTGCAACCTTATAGAAACCACACCCTATATATATATATGGGTGCAGTTTGTATAGAGTCGAAGCTCTAAACAATCAAATTAGAACCCACCTTCAAATAGTGATAGCATTAAATTATAATTTCATCTTTAGTTATAAAATTTAAAGTTCTAAAAACAGTATAGATCGAGCAGATCTATGAAAATCTTGAAAATCGACGGTCCAAAAATATGTTACAAGATGCACTATTTTCAAAACTTGAAATTTATTTTTTTATCATGTCCATGCATCTTGATGTCGAGATGATCAATTTGATGTTCTTTGAGCATCAAAATAACCTCTTCTAGTGAAAGTTTTTCCTATATATTCCCTTTGGGTTTTTTCATAGGGCCTTTGGGCTTGGGGCGAGTCCAGTTGAGGACCCAGTTGATTTGGTAGCTTGTGGACCAGGGCCGAGTCCGAGGCTGATGGTTTCGTGACATTAGTGTCCCATTGCTGACTTTTTGAAGAACTTCGGTGACAGGCGATGGACACGCTATTCAACTCGGACTCGATGGCAGCATCAACCAGACTTTCATTGCCGACGGTGCGTACATGTATGTTCTCACCTTCACGTTGGCGCCGGGGGGCGAGAACTGCTCGACCGCGTCAGCCTTAGCTGTGTCAACACCCGACGACACGGCCCAATTCTACTTGGAACAAAGGTATGGGAAGGAGGCATGGGAGAGCCACGCGAGGGGGTTCATGAATTTGGTTCGCAAGGGCGTGCCTGTGAACCTGGAGCTCAAGAGCCAACCCACTGAGGCTGATCCCAACATCACCTGTGGCCCAGTCATCGACACGCTCCTCCTCAAAGGGGTCGACCCCCCACGTGTCTATTCAGGTAAGATTTTTCACTGCTATGTTTGGCTTGAAATGAAATACTTACTATTGCTTAAACTCTAATGTTTGAAAAAACGGACTGGCTCGTATGGTGGCTAAATTAGTCACCTATTGGGTCGATCCCGATTATTGACCCAATAAGTCCTAAAAGAAAATACACTAAGAAGATAAAATTGGCGAGAGTCAGACAATTCCAGGGATCATAAAAACTGCCAAGTTCGACCGGGCATCTTTAAATACAATGTTCTAACTTACCATCTTTAAAGGAAAAAAATTATATAAGGTTGGGGCCCTAAACAATCAAACTAAGGCTCACCTCAAACATTCATTAGAAGAAGTTGTTTCGACACTGATTATCTCAACCTTGAAATACATAGACATAAAAAAAAAAAATGGACTTCATGTCATGGAAATAGTAAGGAATTGGGATGGTCAAGTTGTTTTCACCGTCGCAGGGCCGTTAGGTGAGGCTACTGCTAATTTTGCCAAATTCTTTGCTCTCCTTCATGGTTTGAAGTTGTTTGCTATGAGGAATCTAGGAGCATATCCATGTTTGGTGGAAGGGTACTCCCTAAATATAATCAATTGGTCCAAAGGGGAACAAAAGGTTCTACGGGAGTTTAGATCGATGCTTTTACAGGTTTTGAATTTAACCAGTTCCCTATCTTTCTCCTTTTTTTCATGTTTATAGAAAAGCTAACAGTTTGGCAAACTGTCTAGCCAAAGGAGGGGCATCCTTATCTGAGCCTATGGTCTCTAATGATGTAATAGTATTCCAGTAGCATTTAATAAGATTTAAGAATGTTCATTAAAAAAAACTCATGGAAATAGTACATCTTGTAATGCAGTATCTAGAGCATCAATTTTCAAGATTTTCAAATGTTCATAGATCGACTTGATCTATACTTTTTTTTAAGCTTTAAATTTTATAAATAGATATTAAAATAAATTTTGAGACATCATGAAGATTTTCAATATTGAAACGACATCTTTCAACACTGTTTGAAGGTACACCTTACTTTGATTGTTTAGAACTTCAGCCTTATACAAACCACACTATACAAACCACACTATATATAATTGACTAGGACTTGCTAGGCAGGTTTTTATCGTGTCCAAGATTACCAAAACATTTTCAAGAAGAGAAAATGAGAAAAGTACCTAAGCACTACTACTGGGAGGGCCAAAATTGAAAACATTATCAAAGATATCAAAAATCATAAAAAAATTAATAAATCATATTACACGGAAACATCAATATGCTTAATAAATTCTCTAAAACTTTGTGATAACCATCGAGCTAAAACCCTATTTATAAAAAAGGGAAAGGTTTCTATACTTCCCCTACAACATAGAATATCTATGCTTCTCTCGTATCCAACCGTCTAATTTAGATCAGGTGAGCTAGTGACCTTTTGATCTAGATCTAACACCTTAGTGTATTTTTTTCTTCAAATTATATGAAAATGAAATTTAGTACGTCCTAGCTAATCAATGAGGCGCACCTAAAAATAATATTAAAAAAGTTTCAATAAAATATAATGACCAAAATACCCTTTACAAATTTCAAGGGTATTTTGATCATTTTATTTTATTGAGAATATTTTTTCATATTTTTTTACAAATGTGAGTTTAAGAGAGGAGTGGACGTCCAAAATTTGATGTCAAAATAATTTTAAAAAATTAAAAATAAAATAGTTTAGAAACATGACATTATAATTAGGGTCATCCCGGCCGTCCATTCAAATGAACGGTTGGATAGGAGGTAAGTATATAAGTTTTATGCAAAAAGGGAAGCATAAAAAGCTTTTCCCTATAAAAAACAGCGTATAATTTTTCCTTCAGGATTTTTTAAGGTCAGTCACTTTTAATTTCCAAATAATATCAGGGTACTCCCTATCTCTATTTAAAATTGCTCTAAAAACCCTTGCAGCAAAAGAAGATTGGATCCATTAAATAAAAATAGGACATCTCTTTATCTCCCTTGGTCTTCCTCTCTAAACATGAGTTCGTTTCTATATCATTTAGTTTTTCTTTTAGAAAACGAATTGCTATGAAAGATCGTATTGAACATGCAAAAAAAGAATTATTCCATTAAAATATGAAGTTCTAGAGAGAGAGAGTGTGTCAATTGGTCCTGAATTAGTCTTGAAGATCGTCATTTTACTGTGCAAAAGTGTCCGTTTCCTTTTTTACTCGAAAAAAAAATTCCTTTTCTCGAGTCAGACCAGACGATTCCTTGCGGGCCCGGTATGTTTTAATCACTGATCTAGACTATAGAGAAAAGAAATTTTTTTCGTTATATCTAGATAATAAAGAATAGTTTTTAACTCTTTATTAAAGGACACGGTCGACATTAGTTCCCCGATTCATATGTAAATGTGCATCCTTTGTATGATCCATTTTTTAGATGGATTTTGAGCCTAATTTTTTTATGAATATATAGTCTCTAACGTCAGGATCATTAATATGTAAAAATAAGTAAATGTTAAAATTTAAAAATGATATTTTTGAAGAATAATTAGTTTTTCCTTTTTTTGCACGTACGATGGATACTTGGTACGTTAGGGAACGCAAATGTAGAATTGCATCCCCAATGCACAATACACTTTTTCCTGTAAAACAAAACCTTACCAAATTTATCATCATCATCTAAGCCTTATCTCAATTATATGGGGCCGGCTACATGAATCTTGCCTATCATTCTGCTTAGAGGATAAGGATTCATGACAAGATTTGACAAAAGTTTATTTTGGTTGCCCTATCTAATATAACCCTGCTCCTTTAGAACCGGCATAATCAGCTTGGAGCCAACCAATGCGAAGTTATGTACAAATAAATAAATAAAATAAAATAAAAAATCTTACCTAACCATGGGAAGATAATGGGAAAAACTTATATAAGGTTGACACCTTAAATTGTAAAATTAAGATGTACTTCAAAAATTCATCGAAAAAAGCTATTTTGATGTTAAAAAACCATCTGATTGATCATCTTGATATCAAGATGTATGGATATGGGGTAAAAAAAAAATTTTCAAGTACTCAAAATTGTACATAGTGCAAAACATTATCTAGACCTTCTATTTTCAAGATGTTAATGTGTTTATAGATCTGTTTGATTTGAACTATTTTTTAAGTTTAAAATTTTATAATTAAAGATGAAAATAGATTATGGAGCCATCCTAAAAATTTTGACACAAATTGCATCTCGACAAAGGTTGGAGGTGCGCCTTACTTTGATTGTTTAAAGTTGCAACCTCATACAAACCTCACAGCTGAGATAATTCTTACAAAAAAATTGATTCCATGCAAGTTAAATTGGCGGACAACTCTAAATATTTCTTTATTTTCCCAGAAAAATAAAAATCTTTAAGAAAATGTTAAAAAAAAATGGTCCTCTTAAAGTAGGTCTCTCATTCTGTCGCTCATAATTAAAAAAAAATGTCTATGAAAAACCACTATTAAAAAATGATGATAAAAAACAACGATTAATAGTTGTCCTGCAAATTTTTAGAGGAAATGTTTTGATCCCTGTATTTCTTAAATTTTTTAATTTCAATTAAAATAAAGAACTATGACATTTTATTTATTTTTGCAAATGAATGCTTTGAAAATAATTACTTTTGTACAGTCAAGTCCTTATAAATAATTCCTTTGTTAAGTAATTCTAGTAAAGATGCTTTTTTCTTTTTCTTTTTTTTTTTTTTGGGGTAATTCAGAAACTTGGAATTTATCTTATTCCAAATGTCCAAGGAGACATTGCTTACAAGAGTTTTAAAAATGTTGGACTTGGGAGAGTCCTTGAACATTGGTTTATTGGAATATTTAAATAACAGAAGTATTGTAATTAAAAAGTCCATGAAAAATAAATCCCCATTCCCACATTGGCATAAATTTCTTTTCTAAATAATAGATATTCTTAATTAAAAAATCTAAAAAAATGTGTAATATTCTTAACTTTTACTTAAAAAATGAAAAAAAAAAATCTAAAACTAGGAATTTATCCAACTCTTCCATGGAATCTTATTCATTAGGACGAGTAAAGAGAAATTACTTCGCAAGGAGAGAGAGATTTTATGGATACCAAACCAACTATTCGAATCTAGGAGCTACAAGCCTTTCACAGAGTGTACCCAAGGAACATCCACCATTCACTCCTGATCACTGATAGTCCAGATTGATCGCAGTGGGGCCCATCCAGACTTTCACCTGACTACAATTAATATCTTCCATCCATGATTTGGTAACAGACAGTGGATGTGCCTTTTGTGTACCATATAGCATGTGCCATTTAAGGCTGGCAATGGGCCTGCCCTGGCCCTAAAAAGGTAGGGCTACAAATGGTGATCCAAGAGCCAAGGTAGCGTTAGTGCTGGCCCGGTCTTTTTTTCTTTTCTTTTTTTGTTATTTTTTTCATTTATATTGGCCCAGTCTGGCTCAGCCTAGCACTAACAGGGCCAGGGCTGGTCCTGGGACAAGGGCCTAGCCGGGCCTAGGCCGGCCAGTTGCCATCCTTAGTGCAATTGGTGTATGGTACTTCCCTAGGGCCAAATTGGGTCAAACTGTTGGGTCCAGTTCAAACTTAGAAGGTACATCTAATCATAATCACAGCTTCTGAGATGCTTTCAACTTGAGCCATACTTCATTGTTTAAAGTTCTCAAGGGCACAATGTCCCCAATGCTGGAAGGTGAGCTATAATCCAATAGACTACAGAAAACCGCAGCCCATTGCAATCATCACTCCCCAATGAAATGACAGATGGTGATGGAAAGAGAGTAGGACTGGGAAAATAGGAAGAAACACAATGGTAGCTCCCCCTCTCTTTTCATCGCCATCCATTGATTCACTGGAAGGTGTCGAACATGGTGGACAACGAAATTCCACAAATATAAAAATACATTCATTTTAGTTGGGAAAAGGCTTTGACGATGATGATTCTTTTCGAGTCGGTAAGAAGGTAGGATTGGAACCAATGTTACACTGTAGTTTCAGCACCCTAACCACCAAACCAAGAAACAAGCCCCTTTCCCTAGGTTTCCTATTCACACACTTACAATTTCCTGGGTGGTGAGACTGCAGGCAACGAGCTGATAAATGGTGATCTCGAAATAGGGCCCGAGTTCTTGATCAACTCCACTGAGGGAATCTTACTCGACGCAGTTACGGATACAGCACAATCTGCATTACAAGGCTGGACAGTGATGGGGACTGTAAAATACATAGACTCCAATCACTACAAAGTCCCACAGGGCAAAGCTGCAATAGAGATAGTCTCTGGAAGTTTAGGAGGGATCCAACAAACACTTGTGCTCCAAAAGGGTTGGACCTACAATCTAAGTTTTGTCATGGGGGATGCCAATGATACATGTATGGGTGATTTTATTTTAGGAGTACAAGCAGGCTCCACTTCAAATAACTTCACAATGCAAAGCAATGGGACTGGTTCAACCCAGAGTTTCTCAATGAAGTTCAAAGCCGATCACTCGGAACCCACTGCAATTAGTTTCATTAGCTACACAGATAGCCAGAGCAGGGATCTCGAGTTTTGTGGGCCTGTGATCGATAATGTGGTCCTCGGTGCATCATATGGGACGAGATTGGAAGTGTATAGCGGGATATTGTATTCTTGTATTGTGTTTTTGGTGATGGTTTTGAGTAAAACTATGTGAAACTTTGTCTTGGTCTCCATTCATTTGTATCAAGTTTTGGAACTGGATCAATAAAGTGGCATTAGAATTCGGATCAATAAAGTGCCATTAGAATTCGCAATAGAACGTTCAGTGTTTACTTACTCTCTCTATCTCTGTGCTGTGGGGTGAGAGAAACAAGATACCAAAGGTATTGAACAGAACTATGGACTCTGGCCTTGAAGCTCTGAAAATTTGAAATGCATTATGCAAGTTCAGTGTTTTTGACCTTTTCCTTGTCTCCTCCCCCAGTGGATGAGTGAAATGGCAATGAAAAACGGGAACCTAAATATTGAGATAAAGCTGCATATTACTAGACTCTGGATCCCTCACCTACTAAAATTGAAACATGTGAAATATCGGTAATACTGTGACTATTTGTAACAAGAAAGCAGTTTGTCTGACAAATATCTAATATCCACTTTAATAGTTCACTCATGTCCCTGCAAACTCTTCAAAAATGTTCACCACAGGGTTTAAAAAATTGGTGATCCAAATCGAAACTGGCTGATCCAATTTTGGATCAGGCAAATTCAGATCTCTTAATTCCCCTTATGAACCGACCGACAGGTTCTGTCAGATAACTGATACAAATCAACCAAGAAAAACAACCCAAATCCTACTTTTTTTTTCTTTTTAATTGTTTTTGGGATATTTTACTGTTGAAGGGCCCCACACCCTTTACTTTTCCTCTCAAATTCTTTTTGATATTTTTTAATAGCTTGGGCCCACAACTTCTGCCTTTGGGTGGGGTATATGGATGCCACCGTCTTATCTCTCATGATCTTTAAAAGGCTAAAATTTTAGAAATAAGAGGGGAGAAAAGGAGGCCAAATTTTAGCTTTATTTATAAGTTCGCCCCATAACACCCAATGGGCTTGAAAAATGGGATGGTGGGAAAAAAAAATTCCCTTGATAATGAGGAAAATACCAAATAGTTCAAGTGTAATTGGATTCAATTAAATACTAAATCACTTTCATAATTCATATAACATAAAAGAAAGAAAAAGCAAAGGAAAAAAAAAAAGAAAACTAAAAAATAGTCTTTGACAAAAAGATTAACAAATTAACCACCCAGATAATATTGTATACCAACAGAAATTGTAAATTTGTTTCATGAGAACCTAATGATTATTTCTCCAATACTAGAAAATTTGATGGAAGTAAAACTAGATGAAAACAAACAAACATAATAGAAAAAAAGATATTGGGTTGGTTTTTTTGTTCACTCTCTCTCTATCTTAGATTGGGTTTTTCTTTTTCACTCATTCACACAAGTTTTGGATTGGGTTTTTCTCTGTTCACTCTCACTTCACACTTTCTCTCTCTTGGATTAGGTTCTTTTTTCAACCTCATTATCTCTCTTCCTCTTTTCCTCTCTGTCATCTCTCTCTCTCACTCTTGAGTATTGGGTTGTTTTTTTTTTTTTCTCTTTTTTCCTGTCTCTCTTTGATTAGGTTTTCTATTCTTCATCGTCCCCCCCCTTTTACTTTCCTCTAAATTAAGAACGTGATTGTGCCCAAACTTTAGATATACATTTAAATACGACACCTCTACAGTGACAAAATATTAATAAAAATATAAATGAAAATAAATAATTAATTCAATAAATTAATTTTCATAAAATGAGAAAAATAATAAATGGGTAGGCAAGACCCCTATCTTTAAAAGTACAATTGGCATTGGAGATTATAAAAATAAATAATCTGAGTTAGAGAGATTCATTTTTATAGCAATTGGTTGCATTTTAAACTTCGTTTTGACCGTAAAATGATTGTAATGGCTAAAACTTAGACATTAGACAGGTTCTCGGCACTTACACCATCATCATCATTAGAGCTTGTTCTCAACTATTTGATGTCGGCTATACGAATCATAATCCATCATTATACTCTATCAAGGGTCATACCACCAGTGAAGCCAAAAGTCTATTATATTTTTTCTCATTACTTCCAACAATGTCCTTTTTAGCTTACCCCTTACCTCCTTTTAGCCTTCCACTTGAACCAACTCGCATTTCCTAATAGGTGTTGTACTGGGTCTGCAATGCACATGGCTAGCCCACCTAAATATACTTTCTCTCATCTTACACCAATGGGACACCCAAGTTCTGCCGAATCTATTCACTTCAAATTATATCCCTTCTTGCCTTGCCACTTGTCTATCTCAATATCCTCATCTCAGCTACACTCACCCTACAGATATGTTGTTTGTGGATAATGCCTTTCACTAAAATTGGATACATGTCACTGAAAAAATGTGTGCATCGTAGAAATTTCGAAGAAACTCAAATTCTATATAGTATATGCAAATAAATGAGCTTTATACGTGTATCTCGCTCCCATGGTATATGATACTCAGACTTGGTTTGATGGAATCGTGGTTCCGAATGATATTGGAACTGTGATCTTGGTCACATGGATCTGAATCCCTTTTGCTATGGTTCTCATTCCCAAATATTAGGAATAGAGTTCCCATAACTCCGGATACAGGATCCAAATATGCAAAACAGCACCAAGAATCGAGATCCGGTCACTCAGAAGCACGGGATCAAGATTCCGGACTCCCAGTAACTTCTCTACTCTTGGTATAATTAATTTCCATCCAAACATATGAACAACCATAGTGACCATTTTTTTGTATATGTTTTGTCTTCCTTTTGTA